GAGCCCTGCCGACGGCTGTAACAAACAGCCCCTCGTGCGGGCAGCATTTCCTCCTCGCTGGGCCACGGTGCACTGTGGGTCGGGGATGGGGTCTCCGTGCACACGTCGGGCTCCCTGTGGGCTCTGAGTGGGGTCGGGCAGGGTGGAGGAGGCCGACTCGACTCCTCCACCCACTGTCAGCTCACTTCCATCTGCTGCAATGGCCCAGGTGGAGAGGAGGCCAGAACAGGGCCCAGCAGGTGCCGAGAGCGGCCGGGCCGGCCCACCCCAGCTGGGCCTCCCTGCGAGCTTCCCCAGTGGGTGGTGGTGAGAGGGTGGCGGCTCCATGCTCTTGCCTCTTGGAAGGCAGGCGCTGGAGGAAAACCAAGTCCGCTCTGCTGCCTCTCCGCGCTGCTCACTCTCGCTCCGGGTAAATATAGCTCCCGCCCCAACGGTGCCGGGACGCGGCTTCGCCCTGAGTGGTGTCACGGCGTGCTCTCGTGCTCTCGCGCCGGCGGCCTCGGGCAGTCGCTCGTGTGAGGCTGAGCGGGACCCGGGCTGTGTGCGACGTGAATGCCAGGCGTGGAGGTGGCCGCCTGAAGACCGCAGGGCAGGGCCGCGTCCCGGAGCCTGCCCACCCCGTGCACTTCTTTTCCAGACGGCTTTGAAATCTCCTTCGAGGCCTCCTGACAGAATCAGGAGCATGAACTCAATTTTCTTTCTCTTTCTTCTTTTCCCTGTAATTCTGGGGATGGAACCCTGGGCTTCATGCAAGCTAATCAAAGGCTCTACCTGGAGCTACAGTCCCTGGCCTTCTTCTTCTTACCTTGAGACAGAGTCTTAGTTGCCTGGGCTGGCCTCAAACTAGCAATCTTCCTGCCTCAGCCTCCCAAGCGCTGGGATCGTAGATGTGCGCCCCACCCCCCACCCCACACCCAGCTGGACTCCAGGTTCGGTCACTGCCTGATTCACTTTCTGTCCCTGGAACAAACCACGACACCCTGAACTCAAAGGAGAATCGGTTTATTTTGATTCATAACTTCCAAGGATTCAATCCAGGCCGGGGAAGGTGCTCAACCTGGCAGCCCAGAAGCAGAGCAAGAGGCCCCTCTGGGCAGGCTGGCCATTAGGGTCCACACCTCGACTGGCCATTTTGGGGGATGCGTTCCCGCCCACTTCTGCTGGGCGCGAGGTGGTCAGCACAGAGCAGGAGCGAGGTCCCCACTGCATGCGGAGCTCTGGGCTCTGGGGGCCCTGGCTCCAGCCTCCCCAGCCTCCGAAGGTGCTGGCTCAGGGACCCAGCTGCGGAACAGAAATGTCGAGAGGGGCTGGGCGCTCGGCCACGGTGGGCTGCGGGAACCCAGAGACTGCAGCTCCACCCCACAGCCAGCGCCCGCTGAGGGCAGAGGCACAGGAGGGCGCCCTGGCACCTGCAGGAGGGGAAGGGAGGGCGCCCCACTCTCGAGGAACTGGGGAGTTGGCAGTGACTGACCCCGCAGGAGCCGGCCCAGCCCAAAGCAGTTGGCAGTGGCCCTGCCCAGCCCTGGCGCCTGGTGCCCCTTAGCTTCACAGAGGCGGGGACTCGGGGTGACCTCAGGCCTGAGTGGCACAGCTGGTCGGGGAGGCGTGGCCTTGAGCCCCAAGGCGGGGAAGCCCGGGACTCATCTGCCTGGTGGGGCGCTCACTTCACTGTGGGCTGCGGTGTCCCTGTCTGGGGGTGCTGGCCACCCGGGAAGGCGAGAAAGTGGGGTCCCCCAGGGGACCCACTGCTGCCTCCGGCCCCCAGGTTTGCCAAGTACTACAAGACGGAGAACGGCAGCGAGTACCGCACGCTCATGAAAGCCTTCGGTATCCGCTTCGACGTGCTGGTCTACGGGAATGTGAGTGCGGCCAGGCGGGCGC